CAAAGATTTTAGTGTTTTTTGTCCAGATTTTGAAGATTTCGAATCAGCTCTAAACTCCCCTGTTTTAGAGTTTTCTCCCCCTTTCTTTGGCTGTGGCATTTTGTTCAAAAATTTACAACTTCCTAACTATTGTAAGAACGATCCAAATCTTTATGTTTTCATCAACAAACTTATCCTTGAAAGTGATTATGTTTCTAAGCGATTGAACGAATGGATTGATTTAGTTTTCGGTGTTAATCAATGCGTTAAAAATTTGCCACAGTTGTTTTTCATCAAACATGACATCAAGAAAGTCAATGAAAACACGAAAGCGTTTAATTTCCAGACAAATATATCACATCTCATCGCATCAACTATTTGTTCTATTAGTCACTCATCAGTGAAAATCAACTGTATTACGATGAAACAAAACATCCAAATCAAGATCAATGTTGAAAATGGCGATATCGATTACAAGATCAATGACAGGAACAACGAAAGCGTTTTCGTTATCCCAGACAAGAAAGGATTTGTCAGTTTGGATTTTGTTCCCGATAGTTATCATGTTAATGAATACGCAGTTTATGGAACTACAAACAAATCTGCATTCATTTTCTATAACAACAAAACGAAGAAGATTGATCCTATCTTGCCACACGACACTCACATCTTTGTTTTAGAAGAAGAAACAGGATCGATGCGAGTCTGTTCTAAATCAAATTTGCTAGTTTATTTGGACTGCAAAATGATTGTTCGACATTCAATCCAACTTGAAGAAAATCCTATTTCTATCAACTGTTCGAAGAATTTGTTGACAGGTGTTTTGTTCTCAACATCATTTGTTTTGTTTGACTGCTGTGGGAATGTTCTGTTTCGAATCTTATTACCACCGAAACACAATCTTAATAATAAGTCATTTTCGATGGTGATTTTTTGGTGCATTCGGAAACAATTCATTGGCATATTTCCATTCAACATCAATAAATCAGAGATTGAATGCCGAATATTCAATTTCCAGAATGATATTTGCATCCAATCGTGCTGCATTTGGCTTTCTAACAAGAGTTTTTACACTTTCAGCGCTCATGGGGCGTTGAATATCATCCCATTTTCTGCTTTTTCTTTATTTGTTTAGATATTATTATATTTATTTATATTTCATGTATATCTTTTTTATTTTATTTCATATAAATTGTATTTTTCATTATAATTACAAAGAATGGTTTTTTTATCTGTGATTTATCTATAAATTATTGAAAAGTTCAAATTCAGAAAATATGATTAATGATAACAGATAAATTTCATTGTTATAGAAAATTGGAAAATTACAGTCAAAAGTGACAAATGCAGAATTCTGAAATAGAGTAATCTATTTTATTGAATGTAGCGAATCATTTCATTGTAATTTCACTGGAGATTTACTATCGAAAACATATGCATTCAATACAATAATTGTATTTTATATTTATTATCTTTTTTATTTTATTTAATATTGTAATGCATGAAAATTCGGTTCAATTCATTTTTGACACTTTACATATCGGATGTATTATCTAAGAATTATATTATAAAATAATAATTTTGTGTTTTATAAGTTTATTTGTATAAATCGATTCAAAAAAAATGGAAAGACAAGAAGTGGATCTGCCAAATGAAAATCAGATTTATATTACGGCATATCTTGAATATTCTATTGGCAAAAAGACAGCAGACCAAGTTGCAAAAGATTTGCACATAGGTAGAAAAAAATTATTATTAAAATGGCAAGAACTTGGTTTAAATCCAAAAAAGCTCGGAAGACCAGAAACTCCTCTTAGAACAGATTTGTTACCAACCATTCACGAAATAAAAGCTAAGTACAATCTAGGTTATAAAAAAGTTTTAGAGAGTTACATACATGATGACACAGTTTCATTTCACGATATGCTTAAATTATACGAAAAAGAGAATCTTTTCAAATTTCGGCGAGATCCAGAAAAAATTGATGAACATCCAAATCAGTATGTTTCCCAATACGTAAATCAGCAATGGCATACTGATTTAAAAAGCTTCAAAGAAGAGACAAATGGTACCAAGCATACTTATCATTTAATTGCCTTTATCGATGACAGATCTCGTTTTTGTATTTATTACGAAATTCTTCCTGATAAAACAATGAAATCAACTTCAAAAGCTTTACAAAATGCTATCGACTCTATCAAAATTATTCCATACGAACTTTTGACAGATAATGGATGCGAATTTACAGGAAAGGACTTTAAAAACGTTCTTTAAGTAAATGGCATTCAACACCATCGGACAGAACTTACACACCACAGTTAAATGGTAAAATAGAACGGTTTTGGCAAACAATCTTTTCGGCTCGCCCAGATTTTATCGAAATAAGAGAATTTTTACCTCACGCAATAGAAGAATACAACACAGTATGGGTTCATACAGCTCTTAAAGATCTTTTCGGTGGAAAACCTACTCCAAAATCAATTTGGGACCAGGGTCCTAAATGGACAAAGGACTTAAACTCAAATCCTGAGTTCGAAATACAGCCTCGTAACTAAAAATAAAGTAAAAATACGAATAAACATTTTATTATAATTTAAATAATTTTTTTATTCATAAAGTAATACGATATATAGCTAAGCTATGTAAGGATATTCTGATGCTGAGAGTTTAAGAACTTTAAATTACGTATAGAAAAAAATTCATTTAATATTTTGTAACATTTTTTAAATTGATAGATAGTTAGATTTTGTAGGGGAAGGTAAGATTCTTTGTGGTAATAATGGTCGTTGAAATTAAAATGAATGTAAGATTTGTGGAGAAATTGTATAAATTTGCATAGTGTTAGATTCAGAATAGGAGCATATGAGCCAGTGATTGTGTCTAATGTTTTTAAGGTGCTAATTGGAAGTAGAAAAGAAAAAAAATTGTTGCAATAACATCATATTGCAAAAAAGTTTTTAAAATATGATGTATGAATAAGAGTATGATTGGTATAGATTTGGGTTGTATAAATGTGATTGAACAATTGTTAATGGAAAGTTCAAAAACTTGGGTGCAATCAGTTCTGATTGCACCCAAGTTTTTGAACTTTGTATAAGGAATTGTTGGCTATGATGTACTGATCATGAATCAGTACATCATAGCCAACAATTCCTTCGCAAACAGCGGGAAACTTTGTCTGAATAGTTTAACATTCAGACAAAGTTTCCCGCTGTCGAGAGGAATGGAAGGGTAAGAGGTATATATGAATGTATACCTCTTACCCTTCCATTCCCTCGAGAAAGTTCAAAAACTTGGGTGCAATCAGAACTGATTGCACCCAAGTTTTTGAACTTTGTATAAGGAATTGTTGGCTATGATGTACTGATCATGAATCAGTACATCATAGCCAACAATTCCTTCCCAAACAACCCGAAATTTGTCTGATTCCACACTAATTTTATTAATTTATCTAAACTTTTATCCTCGTCTACAATTTAATCATCAATAATTATCTCTTGTTCTATTTCACTATTATATATATATATATATTTATATGATTTGATTTAAAAAAAATAAATAAATAAATTAATAAATCATTTACTCAAATATATCAAAAGTTTTATTTTTATATATAAAGATAACTACTTTTAAAAAAATACCCTATATATTTTTGCCATGTAAACTTGTCACTTTTGTCAGAAGTGAAGTGAACCGAATTTTCATGCACAACATATTTTATTTAATATAAATTGTATTTTTCATTATAATTTCAAAGAACAGTTTTTTGCTATCTGTGATTTATCTATAAATTGTTGAAAAGATCAAAATACGAAGTGAGTATATATGTGTTGAGAATGAAGTAATATACAAATATTTGTCAATTTACTTCTGATTCCAGTGTTTTAATTGGCAATATAAACTAAATTGTTCTTATTTTTCATTAAACATGACTTCTAAATATTTTGTCTGTGAAAATATCTCGAAGTCAAATAAAACAAAACTCAAAATATGATTTTTATATTGAAATATCATGTTTTTGCATTATTTATGCGTTGATTTTAGAAATTACACATTGAGTAGATTGATACATCCTTAATATATCATTTACATATCGCATTTTGATTCGATTATCTTTAAGTATCTATATCCAATGAATGAAGTATTTATGGCAATAAAAAGTACAATATATTGGATGTTGAGAGGAACATGATATGAGAATGAATGGCGTTCAACGATTCACTGAAAAGTTACTCCCCAAAAAGGTCATCATAAGATATAATTTTTTTTTCAATCTTCATTTTATTTGTATTATATTGCGATGCTTTCTAAATAGTATGACTAAATATGTAAATATTTTTATTTTATTTCCGTCATATGATGAAATACTTTTAGAATTTTCAATTTTTAGCCTCAATTAAATTGGATGTAATTCAATTTTTGAGGCGGCTCATTGAAAAAACTGTAAATATATTCGTTTTCAATTTTTGGCCGATCAAAAGTACCTTTTTGAAAATAAAAATTATTATTAATTATTTGTGATCTTGATCTAAGCAAAATGTAACCCTTCATGTATTCCTTCCATGTAAGGAGCTATTTACATTTTTTATCTCATAATGGAAACTTCAGAATGCTCTTTAAGAAAAATGATTGGCATTGTTTTATTATGTAATTATTCTCAAAGATTTTGTAAGTACTTTCAAAAATAATTGAATAATGAATGGGATTTTTAATTCAATTTTATTTTTTATTTAATATGATATCATCTCTTTGATAAGGATGATCGGTTTAATTTTATTATGTAATTATTCTCAAAGATTTTGGAAACACTTTCAAAAATAATTGAATAATGAATGGGATTTCTAATTCAATTTTATTTTTTATTTAATATGATATCATCTCTTTGATAAGGATGATCGGTTTAATTTTATTATGTAATTATTCTCAAAGATTTTGGAAACACTTTCAAAAATAATTGAATAATGAATGGGATTTCTAATTCAATTTTATTTTTTCTTCAAAAATTGTCATAATTGTTGAATATGGAATCTCAGGATGACCAGCATGCATCTAGAGAGCTGAAGGAGATTTCAAATGATTTATTTGCTGCTTACGATGCAATATACAAGATTCAAACACTTGATGATGATGAAATCAACAAAATTTTCGAATTTATCAAAGTACGATGCTTTGGAATACTGAGAATTTCGCCAGTTGAGATCATGCAAAGGATTTCTGATGAGTTTGTCTATCAAAATCGTTACATTAGATCTTGTTGGTCATTGTTCATTAAAATTTATCAAGAATATCGTCCCAAAAGAGTTACGCATATTTCAGATATTTTTGATTACTTTTTTTACAAGGAATACGAGTTTACTTTAAGTGGACAACATCCAATAAAATTTATTGAATATGAAAAACAAAATATTTCATTTGATATTCATATACCACATACAATTTATCGTGCAATTATGGATGATGACATACGATCATTTATTTCTCGCACACAAGAAGAAGAATTTAATATTGACCATAAGCTTAAAAGCGATTTTTACCCAGAGAATGAAGGTGGGTATTCATATCTTGAGTTATGTTGTTATCATGGTGCAGTTAATTGTTTCAAATTTTTGAGAACAGAATTCAATTTAGAAAACATCACCAGTTATTGTCTTGCATTTTCTTATTTAGGTGGAAATATAGAGATAATTAATGAATGTTTAAAGAATTTCAAACCGGATAGTCGAAGTATGGAATATGCAATTATTTCACGAAACCCAGACTTTATTATGAATTTAGTAAATGAATACCACATTGAAATTCATTTAGAATCTTGTATCGGACATGAAAATGTTCAAGCATACTGCATGTATTATAATGAAACAAAAAATCTCAATGCATGTTTTCCGTATTCAACATGTTTCCATTATTTACCTCTTTGTCAATATTTCTTATCAAAACATCCAAACATCAATCAACATGCAATTGGATTCAAAGGAAATACTGCTCTCCATTTTGCAGCATGGGGAGATCTTATTGATATTGTTCAACTTCTTCTTTCGCATGGTGCAAATATCAATGAAAAAAATGAAAATGGGTGGACAGCTCTTCACTATACAGCAAATTATAATGCTTTAAATGCCACGTGCCTACTTGTCAAAAGTGGTGCAGATATACATATAAAGGATAATAATGGTCGCACTCCACTTCATTTAGCAGCAGTAAATAATTGTATTGAAACTGCAGCACTTCTTATTTCGCACATCAAAAATGTTGATAAAGATAAAACTAATTTGGGAAGAACTGCTCTTCATTATGCAGCCATTGGAAACAGTAAAGAAACAGCAGAACTACTAATTTCAGCAGGAGCTGATATTAAAGCAAAAAATAAAAATGAAGAAACCGTTCTTCATGCTGCTGCACGGAATAATAGTAAAGAAATAGCAGAGTTTATCATTAATTATCATGTCGATATCGAAGCAAAAGATGAAATTGGACAAACTCCTCTTCATGAAGCAGCAAAAAATAATAGTAAAGAAACAGCAGAAATCCTTATTTCAAATAATGCAGATGTCAATGCGAAAGATAACTTTGGACAAACAGCACTTCATTTGGCTGTACAAAATGAAAAATATGAAATTTCAGAATTGCTTATATTAAATAATGCAGATATCAATGCGAAAGATAATTCTGGTCGAACAGCTATTCAATATGCAGCATCAAAAAATTTGAAAGAAATAGCAACACTTCTTATTATGCATGGCGCAGATGTCAGTTCGACAGATATTGAAAATCACACAGCTCAAGAAACCATCAAGAAACAGCAGAATTTCTTATGAATGTTGCAATCGAAAGTTCAGATTCTTCTTGAATTTTGAAAAAAAATAGTTATTCATGCTGTAGTACAATATAATAGTGAAGAAACAGTGGGACTTCTCATTTTAAATACTCTTCATGAGGTTGTAAAAAATGAATCTCTTCATTTATTGTATTCAATTTAATAATTTTACTTTAATTTTTAAATTTATCAAAGATTATTTGTAAAATTATCGACATAATGAATAAAGAGTATTTGAATTTTCAATTTGCAAATTGAAATTTCTAAATTTACCCACAAATCAAGTTAGAAAATTTGAATTGAAGAATGAAGTAAAATAATACCAGCTTCAAAAATTTGTGTCTGTTTAAAAATGAGAAATGTTAATAAAATTATGGAATGAATGGATCATTCTAGAATGGGAAAAAAAGTTAAAAAGTGGGAAATTGAGAGTGTTTTGATCGTCTTTTTTACTCTTTTTCACTCTAAAATAACCCGAATGAATGGGAGTTTGAATGCCAAGTGTAGGTGCTCTCTAAGATATCTATGCCGGCAAATGATATCTCTGGATATGTTTCGAATTCATTTTCAACTTCGACCTTTATTAGTATTTGCTATACAAGAGATCCAATGGATCTCTTGATGCATGTAAAAAACACTCGTTAATATATCACATGACTGCACGTTCAATAAAACTTTCACTTGTCCATTTGTATCCTTATTTGTTTATACTCACATGTTAAAATGCAAAAAACAGAAATCCACACATTTTTAACTCCTTTTCGCGGGCAGATTTTTAAATGCCCAAATCATACACAAATTGAATTTGAAGGAATATCCGCAAATAATTCAACATCCAATAATAAGATTATATTATTTTCGAAATAATTGAAAGATGATTCAAATTTGAGTGTGATAATAAAGTAAAATATTAAATTATGGAATGTTTATTATAAAATAATGCGTGATAGAATCACGCGATTGGAAAAAATATTAGATAATCTTATAAATGCGCTTAACTAAAGAGGGCATTAATTAAGTTAGAGAGAACGTTATAAAACAATAATAAATATGAAAAGAATGAAAATTTAATAAAGTAATGCTAAACTTGAAAATAAAGATAATTTTAAAAGATGTTGATAAATGCGAAAAGAAAGAGAATCTGTTCCTTGTTAACAGCGCCATGTTCAACTAAGAATTTGACAATTTCAATTGAATTCTTTTCGATTGCAATACTAAGGGGGCATTTATTAACATCGAAAGAATTTCATAAAACAATGATAAATATGAAGAGAAAGAGAATTCTATAAAACAATGATAAATATGAAAAGAAAGAGAATGTTATAAAACAATGATAAATATGAAAAGAAAGAAAATGTTATAAAACAATGATAAATATGAAAAGAAATAGAAATTTGTAAGACAATGATAAATATGAAAAGAAAAAGAATAAGTTTCATGTTAACATCAGCGCCATGTTCAACTAAGAATTTGACAATTTCAATTGAATTCTTTTCGATTGCAATACTAAGGGGGCATTTATTAACATCGAAAGAATTTCATAAAACAATGATAAATATGAAGAGAAAGAGAATTCTATAAAATAATGATAAATATGAAGAGAAAGAGAATTCTATAAAACAATGATAAATATGAAAAGAAAGAAAATGTAATAAAACAATGATAAGTATGAAAAGAAATAGAAATTTGTAAGACAATGATAAATATGAAAAGAAAAAGAATAAGTTTCATGTTAACATCAGCGCCATGTTCAACTAAGAATTTGACAATTTCAATTGAATTCTTTTCGATTGCAATACTAAGGGGGCATTTATTAACATCGAAAGAATTTCATAAAACAATGATAAATATGAAGAGAAAGAGAATTCTATAAAACAATGATAAATATGAAAAGAAAGAGAATGCTATAAAACAATGATAAATATGAAAAGAAAGAAAATGTTATAAAACAATGATAAATATGAAAAGAAATAGAAATTTGTAAGACAATTATGAATATGAAAAGAAAAAGAATAAGTTTCATGTTAACATCAGCGCCATGTTCAACTAAGAATTTGACAATTTCAATTGAATTCTTTTCGATTGCAATACTAAGGGGGCATTTATTAACATCGAAAGAATTTCATAAAACAATGATAAATATGAAGAGAAAGAGAATTCTATAAAATAATGATAAATATGAAGAGAAAGAGAATTCTATAAAACAATGATAAATATGAAAAGAAAGAAAATGTAATAAAACAATGATAAGTATGAAAAGAAATAGAAATTTGTAAGACAATGATAAATATGAAAAGAAAAAGAATAAGTTTCATGTTAACATCAGCGCCATGTTCAACTAAGAATTTGACAATTTCAATTGAATTCTTTTCGATTGCAATACTAAGGGGGCATTTATTAACATCGAAAGAATTTTATATGATAAATATGAAAAGAAAGAGAATTATAAAACAATGAATAAATATGAAAAGAAAGAGAATGTTATAAAACAATGATAAATATGAAAAGAAAGAAAATGTAATAAAACAATGATAAATATGAAAAGAAATAGAAATTTGTAAGACAATTATGAATATGAAAAGAAAAAGAATAAGTTTCATGTTAACATCAGCGCCATGTTCAACTAAGAATTTGACAATTTCAATTGAATTCTTTTCGATTGCAATACTAAGGGGTATTTATTAATATCGAAAGAATTTCATAAAACAATGATAAATATGAAGAGAAAGAGAATTCTATAAAACAATGATAAATATGAAAAGAAAGAGAATTCTATAAAACAATGATAAATATGAAAAGAAAGAAAATGTAATAAAACAATGATAAATATGAAAAGAAATAGAAATTTGTAAGACAATTATGAATATGAAAAGAAAAAGAATAAATTTCATGTTAACATCAGCGCCATGTTCAACTAAGAATTTGACAATTTCAATTGAATTCTTTTCGATTGCAATACTAAGGGGGCATTTATTAATATCGAAAGAATTTCATAAAACAATGATAAATATGAAGAGAAAGAGAATTCTATAAAATAATGATAAATATGAAAAGAAAGAGAATGCTATAAAACAATGATAAATATGAAAAGAAAGAAAATGCTATAAAACAATGATAAATATGAAAAGAAAGAAAATGTTATAAAACAATGATAAATATGAAAAGAAAAAATGTTATAAAACAATGATAAATATGAAAAGAAATAGAAATTTGTAAGACAATTATGAATATGAAAAGAAAGAAATGAAAAAACAGATCATGTAAAAGACAAAAGAATAAGTTTCATGTTAACATCAGCGCATGTCAACTAAGAATTTGACAATTTCAATTGAATTCTTTTCGATTGCAATACTAAGGGGGCATTTATTAACATCGAAAGAATTTCATAAAACAATGATAAATATGAAGAGAAAGAGAATTCTATAAAATAATGATAAATATGAAAAGAAAGAACTATAACAATGATAAATATGAAAAGAAAGAAAATGCTATAAAACAATGATAAATATGAAAAGAAAGAAAATGTTATAAAACAATGATAAATAGAAAAGAAATAGAAATTTGTAAGACAATTATGAATATGAAAAAGAAAAAGAATAAGTTCATGTTAACATCAGCGCCATGTTCAACTAAGAATTTGACAATTTCAATTGAATTCTTTTCGATGCAATACTAAGGGGGCATTTATTAACATCGAAAGAATTTCATAAAACAATGATAAATATGAAGAGAAAGAGAATTCTATAAAAAATGATAAATATGAAAGAAAGAGAATGCTATAAACAATGATAAATATGAAAAGAAAGAAAATGTTATAAAACAATGAATAAATATGAAAAGAAAGAAAAATGTTATAAAACAATGATAAATATGAAAAGAAAGAAAATGTTATAAACAATGATAAATATGAAAAGAAATAGAAATTTGTAAGACAATTATGAATATGAAAAGAAAAAGAATAAGTTTCATGTTAACATCAGCGCCATGTTCAACTAAGAATTTGACAATTTCAATTAAATTCTTTTCGATTGCAGTACTAAGGAGGCATTCACTAATATAGAGAGAATGTTATAAAACAATGGTAGATATGAAATGAATTAAAATTATATCAAACAATGATGAATATGAAAATAATGAGAATATCACAAAGTAATTATGAATATGAAAAGAAAGAAAATTTTATAAATAAATGATAAATATGATAAGAAAGAGAATGAGATAGATAAATGATAAATATGATAAGAAAGAGAATGAGATAG